CAATGTCCGGGGCAATATCAACTACGTATTTTCCCTCGGGATGAACCTAGCAATAATCGATGCCATAAAAAAAAAAAAAGAAAAGAAAAGAAAAGAAAAGAAAAATTAAATCTAGCTAATAACTTTCAATAATAAATACCGTTGGATAACTTATTTATGATATTTATTGGCCGATTATTCGAAGATTGTGTTACAACTCAAAACGCTTGCGTAAGATAACTGCTTGCTATATCGAACATTTTTAATTGTTTATTATTTGATGACGGGAGAGGGCATTAAAAGCTATTACCAGGCGAAGATTGAAGAGACGGAGCTGATCATAAATGAAAAGACTCAAAACTTAAGACGTTTGGAGGCCCAAAGAAATGCATTGAATGCAAAAGGTGTATAAGGAAGACATATCTTAAATAAGAACACGCGAAACTTTGGCGGGTAGACCGTCTCTTGGGAAATTACATAAGCAACATTATTAATGGAAAACGATTTTGTTTGAATTTAGTCCGATTACTCCGGGAAGAGTTACAACTTTTACAGGAACCCGGATCTTATGTTGGAGAAGTTGTCAAACTCATGGGCAAAAAAAAAGTTTTGGTCAAGGTATTTTACTTTAGCAATCTTGCTCTTTTTTTAATGGTGCCTTCTTGTTATAGATTTATATTGCATCGATTATTGCTAGGTTCATCCCGAGGGAAAATACGTAGTTGATATTGCCCCGGACATTGATATTAATCAGATCACACCCACATGTCGGGTAGCTCTCCGTAATGATTCTTACACGTTACATAAGATCCTTCCTAATAAAGTTGACCCACTTGTTTCCTTGATGATGGTGGAGAAAGTACCAGATTCGACATATGAGATGGTTGGTGGATTAGACAAACAAATTAAAGAAATTAAGGAAGTGATAGAGTTGCCAGTAAAACACCCGGAATTGTTCGAAAGTTTGGGTATTGCTCAACCAAAGGTATGTTGTTTGATAATAATTAGGATTTATAATGCATTTAAAACTTTAAATCACTTTTTTAAAATCAAACTTATAGGGCGTTTTACTTTATGGACCTCCTGGTACCGGTAAAACTCTATTAGCGCGTGCAGTTGCACACCATACGGATTGTAAGTTTATCCGTGTCTCTGGTTCCGAGTTGGTACAAAAATATATCGGTGAAGGCAGCAGAATGGTCAGAGAATTGTTTGTCATGGCTAGGTAAACTGTGTTCATCAAAATAACTTTGCATTCGTTCGTATCTCTCTTTTCTAATAAATACTTTTATTTACAGGGAGCACGCTCCATCAATTATCTTCATGGACGAAATTGACTCGATTGGTTCCTCGCGCATAGAATCCGGTTCCGGAGGTGGCGATTCTGAGGTTCAGAGAACAATGCTGGAATTGCTTAATCAACTGGACGGGTTTGAACCTACAAAAAATATAAAGGTGACAGATCCAGAAAATGGTAATGTATTTATTTTTTGTAACTAATTAATTTTGTTTTTAGGTTATTATGGCGACAAATCGAATCGACATACTTGATCCTGCATTATTGCGACCTGGTCGAATTGATAGAAAAATCGAATTTCCACCACCATCTGAAGCCGTATGCTTACAATCCATCACGTTTTCAAAATGTTTAATTAATGTGACCATTATTTACTAATAATTTTTTATCAGGCTCGTGCTGATATTTTGAAGATTCATTCGCGTAAGATGAATCTGACCCGAGGTATTAATCTACGGAAGATTGCAGAAAAGATGACAGGATCCAGTGGCGCGGAAGTTAAGGTAATTGATGAAATGCGGGAAAACATGTACCTTTATATATCCATTTATCTGTCATTTATTTAGGCCGTTTGCACGGAAGCGGGTATGTATGCGCTTCGAGAACGACGCGTTCATGTTACTCAAGAAGATTTCGAGATGGCAGTGGCGAAGGTTATGAAGAAAGGAGAAGAGCAAAATGAAAGCTTACGTAAACTATGGAAATAATTATGGACATACTGCCAAAAATTTAATAGTTGCAATAACTAGATTTAATAAATATTGTTTAGAAATATTTTATTCTGGTAGATGTAACTTAATGCTATGGGATAAATTGCAAAAGTTTCGAATTGCCTAATATCGATTTAATTAATTGTCATTTCCGAAAATATTCTGAACAAACACCTCAATCGCAATCTGAACTCCTTTGAGTTCGACTAACTTTTGAAAATTATGTGGAATTCGTTCAATCAATCGATTTTCATCCAAGGCTCTCCCTAAAAAATGTAAATATTAGACTAAAAATGGAAATCAACTCGACCAATTTCGGATACATACATTGGCTAGGCATTCGAGCAAATAATTGCACGACGGGGTGGACTTGACCGAATGATGTTATATTCAAACACCATAAAAAGGTCATTTCCGGACTAATAGGATTTCTAATATGATCCATAATTATTAGCGAGGTTTCGAAGTTAACAAAAATACAAGCTTTAAGAGAATTAAAACCTAGGATCCTTGAATTTTAATAGTAAATTTGTGTCAATAAGATCATTCGATTTTAGAAGTTCTCGTGGGAGTGAAGTTGGCATGGTCCAATGCGAATATTTTATTCTCAACGCGTTAAATAATAATGTGCGCTGTCGATTTAGTCGCGCATATTCGATAAATCCTTTGAAAAACACGTGTAAATTTCTGTCTAGCTCTGCACTAGACAAACAAGACGAAGAAAAAACAACAATTGTGTTAATAATTCTATAATTGTAAAGTATAATTTAGTCCATTACCTTTCTATGAACTTCCCAATTTCACGCTTACAGCCAGGACTGACTTTAACTTTAAGGTGAATAATACAAAGATCCGATTCACTTACGTCAAACTCAATATTGAAATAGAGGCCATGAGTGACGCCCGAAATATTGTATCGTCGGACGGTTTCTAACAAAATGATTAATAAAGTCTTTAACCTATAAGCATATATACACGAGTATAAATAATGATTTGTTGTTATACCTTTTGTATTAAAAGCAATTAACTGATTTTTGACATTAATAAACCGAACTTTCGTATATGCTTCAAGACGTTTAATCTGAAAGGAATGATGCTTATTAATTAAGGTCAATTCTAAGAAAATTCGAGACAATTTCAAAATCCTAAATTTACGTTTGAGTCATAATTCCGAACGATGCTAGCTTTACTTCGCGAATCAGATTCTTTTTGCAAAAGACATTTAAACTCGGATAAGAAAGACCGATCGTTAATATTAATTAGGCGTTCTCTAAATAAGAAAAAAAATTAATAAGGATATTAGGTCAAGGATTTTTTTATACATCGAAGTACATTATGGTTGCCTGATCTTTGTTCGGATCCTTATGTCTGTTTCGTCGCGCCCGGTCAATGCATTTCTGCAAATTTTCAATTTCGATCTCAGCCTCGCGTATTTGAGCGAGTAAACTTAATTTCTCACTTTTCCTTGTTCTTTCGTCTTCATCCATTGTCGCGAACATTCGACACGCGTAGAATATTTATAAATCTTTTTATTAAAACTTGACTTCTAATAATCAAAAAAAGTCAAAAAATATTTTTACTATTAATAATATGAAAGTTTTTTTTTAAAAAAATAATTATTATAAAGTAAAATATTTGAAGTCTCTTTATTTTTAAAATAAATTTTATAAAAATTTGTTATAATAAAAAAACTCAACTTTTTTTTAATAAATATTTTGAGTTGTTAAAGTTTTTATTTTATAATTTTTTTGAAAAATTTTATTTATTTTAATTTAATTTTGAATTTTTTAATAATATAATATTTATTATTTACAGTAGTAATCTGTAGATGATAATATTAAAAATTGAAAGGATTTCTACCCAAACTACTAATGGGATGATAAATCACTCACAAAGTTATATTTAAAGTTTTGAATAAAAACTTTAACAAATGAATTGGAAATTTAGTTTTAGTATTACATATCTATATACAACCTATAATTGATTAATAAAGTATACATAATTGGTTTGATAGAGGATTAAAAAAAAAATATTATTATATTCATTAAAAATAATGAATCAGTATAAAATATGTTAGTTTTTGAAATATAAATAGACTTTTATTGATTATATTTATTATATATATTATATTAATAATATTATTAATTAATTAAAAAATAAAAATCCTTGAAAATATATTTTTTTAATTGAATAAATTTTCAAGAAACAATTATAATATTGAAAAATAAATAATAGTTAAAATAAATAATAAATTTCTATTTTTTATAAAGTTTTTTTAAATAATAAAAAAAACTTTACTAAACAAAGTCAAAATTTCTAAATTTCTATTCTAATTAAATAAAGTTCTAAAAAATTTTTTTTATCACAATCAAGTAAATTTTTTTATAATATAATATTGATATTAGTAATGTGATAAGAGAATTCATATATTAATAAAAGAATTGATCTTTCAAATTTTCTTTTTGAAATTTTCTTATTTAAAAATAACTAAGTTTCATAAATATTATAAAGCTAAAAAATATTTTAATTGAATAAATCTTTTTTGAGAAAAAATTTTTTAAAATAATCAACAATAATAAATTAATAATAATAAGTTAAAAATTAAACTACTAGAAAAATATAATATTATTCCTATTAAGACTTAGTTTGTTTAATTCAAACTAGCTTAATGGATTACTTATATTTTTTAAGTAATATAATTCTTTAATTAATGATATATAAAGAGAATTTGTAATGATTGCAGGCAATGATGTTAGAAGTTGGAAAGATTTTTACTTGCATTATTAATGAAGTGATAAATCACTTCGGAAGTTGCACTTAGAGAAATAATACAACCAAGACGAGTGAGTTAGTTAGAGAATTAGCTTTAGCACCTCATTTTATATGTACAGTTTACAAATGTTTAATAAAACACACATAACTAACCTGACAGAGGGTATTTGAAAAAAAAAAAAAAAGAATTAATTATTAGATAAAAGTCTATAACTTATTAGATATTCATTTAACACCTCAATAAAGATATGCTACTACTACCATATTGATACTGTAGATTGATTACTATTCGAGAACTTTATCAGTTCAAAATACAGTGCTTATTTCTTCATTACTTTCAATATCTTTATGTTGTGGTCCTTATCTGCCAGTTCTTGTCTTTTCCTTCTATATCCTATCCAATATGGGTTCTTCTACTAATGTTTTTCTGGGTGATGATAAGTCGAGGGTTTTGAAGGGCTCTAGGATATAGGAGAAGTGAATAGGCATTGGGATAATTAGAAGCCATCGTCCAATAATCTGTCTTTCTTTATCATTGCGATAACTCCAACCTAGAAAGGAGAATCTTGATACTTCCAACATGCACCTTATTGGACTTAATAAATATCATGCTGTTTTCCCCAAAGTACTACTATCTGTAGAGATTGAACCATTTGTCTAATATCCTATTATGGTATATTCTTTATCCATCTAAGATCATTCAACTATATATTGATATTATTAATTAGGTGCGAATGATCCTAAGATCTTCTTAATCTTCCAATATTCATGCTAATAAAGAATAGGTATGACACTTTTAAGGCATCATCCTTGTTCTGTATTTCTTTGAGCATAGTCTTCTTTCTTTTTTCTTGATAGAAAGAAGGAAAAGGTATATTCTTTTTTTTTCACTTAGTCAAAGATATAGGAGTTGGCAGTGTTTATTATTCATCTATATCAAGACATAATAACTTATAGTAGACCTCAAGTTCTTATAGAATTGAGAAAATGCATTTGAACACATGAAGTGATCAATAGAAGCTTGTTTACTTTTTTTACTAATGTGAGCTCTGTCTACTCAATCATGGTATGAGAAATTTTGTGCTACCCAAAATTCAAGATCAAACTAAAGTAGGCAAAATTCCCTAGAAAAAATTAAGAACAAGTACTATTAGAAGAAAAAACAGGATAAGAGAGTGAAAAAGTTGTTTCATATTATAACAACACTTCTATAGTGTTTCTCTATAGTGTAAGATAACAGTATATTAGTTTTTCTTCCTTTCAGAACTTTCTTGTCATGGGTAGGAAAGGTGTTTCTTGACTTTTAAGATTACTAGAGGTCAAGTTTTTGTTTAAGGAGAATAGTAAACAAAAAGAGTGAAGGTAGTTAATGACTCTTAAAGCTTCTTCAAGTTGATTTAAAGAAAGTAGCAACAAACATCTTTTTTGTATATGGTCAGAGGATCAATAGAAAGAGTTGATATAATAATTAATAATTTGATATTATTATATATTTTATAAAGTTTCTACTAATTCTTTTTTTAATAATTTTCTTGAAAAAAAGAAACCAGCTTAAAAATATTTTATCTCTTTAAAATCTAAGACTTAATAACAAACTATAATATTTAACTACTTCTCAAAAATTCTTTTATCAATCAAAAGAAGTGTAAACAATATAACATTATTTTAACTTTACTTTATAAAAAAAGAAATACATCTACAAGCTGATTCACTATAAGCTTAGGAGAGTCCAATATTAAGTTTTCAAGCTTTTAACTAGATTAATATTGATTTATACCTTGCTAGATATTAGAAGAAACTTTATAAACAATAGTTTCTATTAATAAATTAGAAAAAACTCAAAGTTTACAAAGCCCAAAAGGATATCAAAGACTTTCAAAAATTAAACAGTAAAGTATCCTAATTTCAAATACATTTATCTAAACAATAAAACAAGTAATATAAATACATATGTGTCAAATATTACAGTAACAAAACAATATAACAAGATTTATCAAAAGTCTACAAACAAAATAAATTAATTCTATTACAATAATAACAAAAATCAATAACAAATCCAATAAACAAGTAGGATCAAACAAAAAAGATTAACAACTCATCTGAGTAAACAAGAATTCCAACAAGATAACAAATAATCAATCTCACAAATCTTGCTAAATATAAATAAATAAAAATAACAAATTAGCAATTTATTCTCTTTTTCATATAATCAATATAACTTGAAA